CTGGCGGGGCCTCCCTGGAGAAGTGGGAGGGGCACGACACCTGATCAATAATATGGTGTGGCGATACCCTCCTCGCTCTGGCGGGGCCTTCCTGGCGGGGTGGGAGGGGCACGAAACCTGATAAATAATATGGTGTGCCGATGCCCTCCTCGCTCTGGCGGGGCCTCCAAGGAGCAGTGGGAGGGGCACGAAACCTGATAAATAATATGGTGTGGCGATACCCTCCTCGCTCTGGCGGGGCCTCCCTGGAGGGGTGGGAGGGGCACAACACTTGATGAATAATGTGGTGTGCCGATGCCCTCCTCGCTTTGGCGGGGCCTCCCAGGAGCAGTGGGAGGGGCACGAATCCTGATACATGATATGGTGTGCCGATACCATCCTCGCTCTGGCGGAGCCTCCCTGGAGGGGTGGGAGGGGCACGAAACCTGCCTCCCTGGAGGGGAGGGAGGGGCACGACACCTGACAAGTGGCACGCGTGCCCTGGCTCTTGCACAAAGGTGTCCGAGGCTCAGGGGGGCTGCCCTGGGAAGCCTGGGCGAGGGGGGGGGCGAGGGGGACGGGGGGGGGGGGAGGGGGACGAACGACACGACGAACGACGAAAATAAAGGGTTCCGTGGCCCAGGGGGGCTACCCTGGGAAGCGTGGACAGGGGGGGGGGCGAGGGGGACGAACGACACGACGAACGACGAAAATAAAGATGTCCGAGCTCTAGAGCACAGCTGTGCAAGAGAATAAAGGGTTCCGTGGCCTAGGGGGGCTGCCCTGGGAAGCCTGGACGGGCTGCCTGGGATGCCTGGACGCGGGGCAGGGGGGGGTGAGGGCCAGGGCCAGGGGGCGACCAGGGCCAGGGGGACGAACGACACGAACGACGAACGACACGAAAATAAAGGGTTCCGTGGCCCAGGGGGGCTGCCCTGGGAAGCCTGGACGGGCTGCCCTGGGGGACGAACGACACGAACGAACGACGACACGAAAATAAAGGGTTCCGTGGCCCAGGGGGGCTGCCCTGGGAAGCCTGGACGGGCTGCTCTGGGAAGGCTGGACTGGATGGGAGGCAGGGGGGGGTGCGGGCCAGGGCCAGGGAGACGACCAGGGCCAGGGGGACGAACGACACGAACGACGAACGACACGAAAACCCTGGGAAGCCTGGACGGGCTGCCCTGGGGGACGAACGACACGAACGACGAACGACACGAAAATAAAAGGTTCCGTGGCCCAGGGGGGCTGCCCTGGGAAGCCTGGACGGGCTGCTCTGGGAAGGCTGGACTGGATGGGAGGCAGGGGGGGGTGCGGGCCAGGGCCAGGGGGACGACCAGGGCCAGGGGGACGATCGACACGAACGACGAACGACACGAAAATAAAGGGTTCCGTGGCCTAGGGGGGCTGCCCTGGGAAGCCTGGACGGGCTGCCCTGGGATGCCTGGACGCGGGGCAGGGGGGGGTGAGGGCCAGGGCCAGGGGGCGACCAGGGCCAGGGGGACGAACGACACGAACGACGAACGACACGAAAATAAAGATGTCCGAGCTCTAGAGCACAGCTGTGCAAGAGAATAAATAATATTGTATGACGATACCCTCCTCGCTCTGGCGGGGCCTCCATGGAGGAGTGGGAGGGGCACGAAACCTGATAGGTATGGTATGGTATAGTTTGATAGGCATGGTATGGTATAGTATGTAATGGTATGGTATGGTAGGTATAGCATGGTAGTAGGGTACGGTACGTATGGTATGGTATGGCAGGTATGGTATGGAATGGTAGGTCTGGCAGGGTAAGTATGACATGGTAGGTATGGTATGGTAGGAAGTGGTAGTGGTAGTGGTAGTGGTAGTACAGCAGCAGCACCGGAGGAGGAGGGAGGAGGGAGGGAGAAGGAGAGGGTGTTATTGGAAAGCAAGAACCCCACTCAGGATGTGGGGAATTGTAGCGGCCGGATGTCTGGGGAGGGGGGTAAGGGCGTAGACACGCTAACAGCGATGGAGGTGACGGCGATGTAGGTTTCGGCATTGCAGGTGGGGGTGGTTTGTGGCCAACCCAATTGTTGACCATGCTTGTCTGCGTTCTCCTACAATTTGTTCTGCGCGAGTGCGGTGTCGCAAAGCATCTATTCCGGGCCAGCGCCAGAGGCCCGCCGGTGCTGCTTCACTCCGCGTCGGCGGCGCGCGTTGGCGGTCGACCACTGCCCTCGCCCCCGCCCCAGGCTGCCGAGCCGCCCCGCGGCTTGGGTACAACTCCTGGGGCAGTCAGCATCGGCGCTGGTGCAGTACAGTCGGGCCGAGGCACAAGGTCGAGGTCGGGTCGGGGAGGGTGCCCACATGTTCTTCGTGCTTGTTGGATGTTCTTGTGCATCCCGGGGGAGGGTACCTTGGATGCTCTGTGTGCTTCGGCCAGCGGAGGGTCCCTTGTTCTCGAGTGATGCTCTTCTGGCCTAGCTCCGGCTGTGCAACTCCTGGGAGGTGACATTCAGCATCGGCGCTGGTACATCCGCTGCCGAAAACCGGCTCAATGTCAGGCACAGTCTCTCGCTCCCTTTGGCGCTCGAGCCCGCCCTTCTCCGGGGCCTGAGCCCGGCTGGGTCCTGGGCCTCACCTGGCCCGATCTCTCTCTGTGGCCCCTCGATCGGGCTGAATGCCCTTACTCGTTCGTGCGAAGACCTCCCAGGAGTTACTTCCTAACACAACATAAAACAATGACGAGTTTGGGGGAGCGAGCAATGACATGAACATAACTCAGAGGTCCGCGCGGATGTCTCGGATCGGCGCTGGAGACCCTTGGCGGCGCCTCTGGCGCCGCCACTGGCGCGCTCCGCGCGCCAAGGAGGGGGGTCCAACGCCGATCCGAGAAATCTGCGCGGACCTCTGAGTTTTTATGTTTACTTCGTTGTTTGTTTACCTCCTAACTTTCAAGCCGTGGCGAAGCGTCCTGGCGTGCCTATAGGCCCACCATACAGTGTTCTAAGAACCGTTGGTGGTTTCTACGAAATGTTCGTAGAACATTTTGGGCCGATATTGTCTTTTTTGACATGTCGGGCTCATGTTCTAAGAACATTGTCTTTGTTCTTAGAACACTTGTGGGTTCTAAGACCATGCCGTGGTAGGCCTATAGGAATGCCGGGACGGGCTGGTCCCTGCTCAGAACTTGCCCTCGGCCCCTCCGGGCGGCCCTGGTGGTTGCCCGCCCTCGCCACCACGGCGGCCGTGCTGCCGTGCTCGGCGGGCCCCCCCCCGCCCCCCTCTCCCCTGGAGGTGGTCCTGCGCCTCGACGTCCCCGAGGTTTGCGAGGAGCCGATCACCCTCCTCCTCCCCCTCTCCTCCTCTCTCCTCCTCCTCCTCCTCCTCCTCCTCCACCTCCTCCTCCTTCTCCTCCTTCCTCCTCCCTCCTCCCCCTCCTCCTCCTCCTCTTCCCCCTCCTCCTCCTCCTCCTCCTCCTCCTCCTCGGGGCTGCGGCGGTTGGGATGCAACTCCTGTCTAGGCGTCCTGGATGGGGTCGGAGCAGATAGGGTCGGACGATCGCGCCGCATCGACGATGCATCGCCAATTGTATCGGCGATGCATCAACGATGCGGCTTGATGTGGGGCACAGTTTTCTCCACGCCGACGTCGCCGATGCATCGCCGACGTCGCAAATACATGGCCGATGCATCGCCGATGCATCGGCGATGCATCGGCGATGCGGCGAGCTCCTCCGACCCCATCTGCTCGGACCACATCTAGGAGGCCTCGATCCTGGGAGGTGATAGGTTCGAACTCGGCGTCGGCATTTCCCCGGCGGCAAACGAGCAATCTGGCGTTTTTACTGGTTGCTCCGGCTCATCTCGGTTCAATCCGACTGAGTTCCGCTTAATTCGGCTTAATCTTGGTTTTAATCCAGACTAATCCTGCTTAGTGGCCCGTTAAGCGGGCTTAACAGACCTTACTCGTTCTAACAAGGCGCGGAGGTGCCCTGGCCTGGGATGCGCGCACGCGTGTTTTGTGCGCTGTCGTTGGGACGACCGAAATGGATACAGAAACAGTTAGCACGAATACCGACATCATGTCCAGCATTTTGAACAGTGTTGGCTGTCGGTGTCGCCGCGGACGTTGTCCATTTGAGAAAGAACGCCGCATACCCATCACGGGCCAGCTCTCTTGGGTCGTCTTGGGGGCCTCTTTGGGGCCTGTTGGGCCGTCATGTGGCAAATTTGGGGCCTCTGGGGTAGTCTTGGAGTGTCGCGCGCCTGAAAAGACTAGACGTTGGGTCTGCCGCTGTGTCAGAGATCCGCCACTTCTGTAGAACCGTCCAAACAAGTGTCGACACTTCGGCTTTCACTTCGGTTTTCAGGAAACGGGGGTGACGACACTTCGGTTGTCTGGAGACGGGGGCGACGACACTTCGGTTTTCATGTTGGTTTTCGCGCCACGGGGCGACGACACTTCGAAGTGTCTGCACGCGCGGATCGGGCGATTCTTGCGGAAATTTGAACCTTGGCTCAAAATCTTGCCCAACTGTCTTCTATATCTTCCTCCTCCTCCTCGTGCTCTTCCTCCCCCCTTTCGAACAGCTTCGCGAGGTTAAGCTGCAGGGGGGGGGGAAGAGAAGGGGATGGTGAGGGGGGGGGGGCGGGAGGGGGAGGCGAATGAAACGAATTGCATCGATGATAGAGGCAAAGAGGGAACAGGAAGGAGGAGGTGGGAGGAAGTGGAGGAGTGACGAAGACACAGGAAGGAAGAGGAGGAGGAGGAGGGAGAAAAAGGAGCAGGAAGGAGCAGGACGAGTAGGATAACGTAAAGGGGGATCGTTACACCTTGAACATGTTGATGGGGGCATCCTCATAGTCGCGACCATCCCGTAACCACTTTGGCTCAAACCAGCATTGAGCCACCAGCGAGTTGATCTTTGATGATCGTCCGTCCAGTGCTATTCCATATCAAGACCGCCTTCGGCGGCATCGGCAGCGGCAGCTCCGACTATAGACTCCCCCTCGGCAGCGGCAGCTCCGACTACATTAGCGGCTGTTTGGACTGCCCAATTGAGTTCGACAGCGGCAGCTCCAACTACATATTCAACATCAGCAGCGGCAGTTCCGACTACATATTGAACATCGGCAGCGGCAGCTCCGACTACTGATTCCCCCTCCGCAGCGGCAATTTAGATTACATGCTCAACGACAGCAGGGGCTCCGACTAGATATTTCCCCTTCCGCAGCGGCAGCTCAGACTTCATTTTCGAGTTCGGCAGCGGTAGCTCCGACAACATATTCCCCCTCGGCAGCGCGAGCTCTATTTTTTCTCAACATCGGCAGCGACAGTTCAGCCTACGCAAGCGACGTCGGCAGCGACGCCAACTATACATTCGACAGTGACGTATTCAGCATCGGCAGCGGCATCTTGCCACACCAGATGGACGGCTTCATGGCTGACTTCGAACCGATGTCGGGCGACGTGGCCGTCGACGTCCAGCAGCCCTCACAGGAGCAGATCCAGGGGTTGGACCAGTTCGAGGAGTTGCAGGTGGAACTGCGAGGAGTTGCGCGGCATCCGCGACGCTCGGCAGCCCAAGCCCGCCAGGCGAGGGAGGGCTATGATTAAGATCAAGGGCGAGCCGCGGGCGCGGCTGAAGGTCTGGGCGGGGGGGGCGCTTGCAAGGGCCTGCGACTGCTTATCCGCGCTCCTGCGTCGCCGATCCAAGGCGTTGGGTCGGCGAGGTTTGGGCGGCGGATGGACGGGGGTTGGCCGGCGCGCGCGCCCCCGCCCGGCGAAGGCGGAGAAAACCACCCGCGACGCGATCATCAGGGATCAAGCAAGCGTGGCGCCGCTCGCCGAGAGGCCGAACCATGCGCAAGAACGTGGCCATTCCCGCGCTGGCGCAGAGGAGCGCCGTCAACCTTTCCCTCGCCTACATCCCCCGGGGCCGACAGAAGCTTCACCGGGAATATCGGATCTCGCAGGCGACCGAGCCCACTGGCACCAAGGCGAAGGACCTGCCTCCAGGCGTCCAGAAGGTGCTGCGAAAGCAAGTCAGCATCGGTAGCCAGCATGCGCTTCTCGATGCGATTGGCGCTGCATCGAGCCGCGCGTTCGCGCCCGCGTGCGACAGGGCCAGCGGCGGCGTGTTGGTGCTGAAGCATTGGGGCGCCACAGTGAAGAATCTATAGAGCGAGTTCCCAGTTCGCGGGAAGAGCTCTCTCTACTTCCCACACGCCCGCGGCGCGCGCGCCCATTGCGGGGGCAATCTCAAATTTAAATGACTGAAGCCCCACGCAATGAGGCTTTACTCGACAGTGCCGACGTCGAGGTGCAGGGGCGACCTCTCGCGCAGCATCGCAGGCGTCGGGCTGGTTGTCCAAGACCAGCTTCACCGAGAAGTTGGCCCGGCCCCTCCATGCCCCTTCCCGTTGGAGCAGGTGGCCAGCCTTCTCTACGATTCCAGCGCCGAGTATCACAGGCGCCCAGGCAAGCGCGGCAGCGGCGATGGCAAGCCCCAGCGTCCAGCAGATTTGAAGGCGCTGTGCGCCATGGCCAACGGCAGCCTCGGCGCAGACACGTGGGCCCATTACTGCCGCGGCGCCACGCGTGGCGGGCCGCGAGGCGGTGAAGAAGATGACGGTTGCCACAGTGCGCGCCGCGCGCGGAAGTTCGGGCCCCCGTCCGTCTGGGTCTCGCTGGACCTATATATTGCCGAGCTTCAAGTTGCTTTTTGGTGCGCGGGATTCTCCGCAGAGTTGGCCTCGATTGTTTCGTGGTCGCACTTCCAAAGGCGGGTCTCGAGGGCCTGGGCGGGCAGCGTATTGGCGTGGGTCAAGAGGGCCCCGGCGACGACGTCAAGCACGTCATTCGCGCGCGGGCGAGGAAAGTGAGAGTCTATTGAGTGCTGCGCCGGCGACCGCAGCATGCGCCAATTTGCTGTGTACGTTGGCATTCTCGAGGTCGCAGATGGCAATCTGCCGCGCCCGCTTCACGGCGACGCGATCGAGGGGGAGGAGGAGCGGAACAGCAAACTCGATGAGGTTCTGGGCGGCTCGATCATCGGTGAATTCAGCTGGGGTTTGCTGGACTTCACTGACGGATGGGATACTGGAGATCCATCCAGGCGCCCACGGATGTTGCTAGATATCTTGCACGCGCCGTTGGGGGGCCAGAGCATTTCCACGTGGGCAAGAGGGCAGATGCTCAAGACAAGCTCGGTGATGGCTCGCAGGTGCGCGAGCCGCTGCAGCGCGTGGCCGCAGATGCGCTGCCCTTCATCGCATGGTCGGGCCACGTGCGCCGACGGGCAGAGGGCGGCCCGCGAGGCGAGGGGCGCCGATGACCGCGCAATCGACAGCTACGCTAAAGGCGCTCTGACATCGTCGCCGTGCCAATGCGCGCTGGGCGCCGACTTTCGGGCGCATTGATATGGGGCGGACGCGGTGGAAAAAGCTGAGCGCATCGCGTGCGGCTCGGCATCCCTCTGGGGCCCCAGGCAGAAACTCCGTCAACGCTGGGCGCGAGCGCTTTCTCGACCAGCCCATCTCCATTCGCTGCGCGCACGGCGGCGACGTTCCTCTTGTTTTCATGTGCTTGGGAAGCTTGCAGTCGGATGGGCAGGTCTCTTGCGCGCCTCTATTGGAAGGCGTTTCTTTTGGACCCGCGCCGGGCCTCCGAGCTGATGGAGCCGCCCCTGGGGCGCCCGTGGCCCGTTCGATCAACGATGCACCGGTGCAGGCGGCGATCGAAGATGCGCCGTCGCAAGTGGCGATCGACGGTGGCCCAGCCCAGATGGCAGCGCCCGCGGCAGCCCGCCATTTCGAGGGCGCAATCGTCGCCCAGATCCCGAGCCCGAAGGAGCTGCCAAGCGATGTGCTGGCCATGGTCCAGACCAGACGGGATGGCGCCAAACGCGGGCGCAGTGCATGAGTGCTTGGGCAGGACAGACTGCTCCAATATGCGAAGCAAGCCGAAGGGCGCGCGCTGACGTTGGGCGAGGTCGGCCAGCGCGGGGGAGCTTGCAGGGCGATGTTTGCAGAGGCGGATCAGGGCGTCTATTACGAGGCGCACAAGGATTGGCAACGCGGCGCACGCGCAGGTCGGCAACGGCAAGTACCTGACCAACCATATCGGCTGTTGTGGGGCGGGGGCGCGGCGGGGGCGGGGTGGGCGGGGGGGGGGGGGGGCGGGGGGGGGGGGGGGGGCGGCCCGCGCGAGCTCTTTCACGCCAGATGAGCTCGTCAATGCATCGTCCTGCACGGGCGGCCGAGCGACAGTATTGTATGCGACGCGAACATGGCGGATAGGAGGGCCGCCACCTATTGCGCGACCAATTTCG